AATTTTAAAGCATGATATGATTTACTGTTCCATTTACTGCTACAATTTCAAATAAATTCTTTTGTGCTACTTGTTCGTCCTTTCTTTCTCTACCAGACGATTATTGCACAAGTCAATCACGCCATCGGTGCGGAAGGCGTTGTCAGTATTGAATGCAAACAAGTTGTTGACCAATACGGGAAGATGATATTGGACCTCCTCATTGCACAGGTTTGCACTTTACATAACTTTACCTCCCACCTTTTCTATTTCTAATTTGTATGGCTGCTCGCTCAGACACGGCCAGGAAAGGTATGCAGCCAAATCGGCCTATGTGTATTTGATGGAACTCTACCTGCCAGGTTTGTCAGAACTGTTGTTTTTTATTCTGTTGAGGATATTGATTTCTCCTCCCTTTCTGCTCATTGTATTGAGGTCTTTTGTACAGTACTGGCATTAAATCTGTGCTTGACAAGGAAAACGTGAATTCTTCTTCTCGTAATGAAGATTTGTTCTGCACTGCTTGTGAAATGGCTGTAGTATGGATTAAGAATCAGCTTCGGGAGAATCAAACTGAGGAACTAATACTAAACTATGCTAATGAGGTTGGTTTGCTAAGGCTAATTATGTTACACACAAATAAATATTTATATTTATAGAAAATATTATATTTTTTTATAATTTTTTCTTCAAATGGTTGATTTTCTCGATAATGTAACTATCTTTTTAAGCTATGTGGACGGCTTCCAAGTCCCATGGGAGAATCAGCTGTGGACTGCTCTCAGTTATCAAGCTTGCCAGATATCTCTTTTACAATTGCAGACAAAAGCTTTGTTCTGACTCCAGAACAGGTATGCTACAAGCTTATGATAATTTCTATGGTTTAATATGAACATATTTATTCTGATCTTGCTAATTCTCCTTTTTGTCTTATTTTGTAACTAATATTGCATAGTTGAAAACGTGTAGTCTAATCTCAGAGAAGCAGGGGTCCGTTGTAACTAACAATCCATCATATTTCGTATTGTTTGCAGTGTCCGATTGGAAAACTAGCAAAGTAGGTGATAGAAAATGAAGGGTAAGAAAAGCTTAAAGAAACATGATAGAGGAAAAAAAAATAAATTTGAATTATAAACTAGGAATGAAAGATGATTAAGATTAAAAAAAGGAAGAAAATTTAGTGAACAAGCTTGTGAATAACTACACATTAGAGGAAGAATAAATTTAGAGAACTGAGAACATGGTCGAAGGGAATAAAATGAGAAATGAGAAGTTTAAGAGAAGGCTTAAAAATAGGACTCTAATGAAAACATAAGAATGTCTGAAATCTGGAAAAAAAAA